AATTTGTGAATTAAAAGTCGCCAGATAGCACATAAAATTGAGCTGATAAATATGCAGAACAGGGGAAGGGGAAGTGGGTGGGCCAGAGCGTGAGGGTGCAGCGTGCACCTGCTTTTCGCCCTCACTTCATTTCTGTAACACAGGAAACAAGAATAAAAAATTATTACAAAATTCAGAAAAATAATTTGAGAATGAAGCTTGCAATATTTATTTATTACCGGTCAAAGTTTTATTTTAAATTACTTTATAAGTAATGTAAAAATAATATTTGATATCAATTTGTTAGAATATTTAATGTGTTTTAGATGAATTAAAGAAAAATAAAATTTAGCATAAAATTTAATAGAAGAAAATTGTACTCTCAAAACTTAATTTCTATTATTCAAATTTTTTGTAATGATAAAATAATATAAACGAGCAATTTTTTTATATTACATTTGATACATAAAAATTAATTATTAATACATAAATTTAAACACTCATTAAAATTTCTAGATACATCAATATGAATAAATTTATTTATAATAACTCTAAATTCATATAATTCAAAATTCATCAAATAAAAATTCATTGAGGCCTTGTTTGAGCCACATTATTTAAAAAAAATACATTTTTCAACAGTTATTTGATATTATTTCAATCACACATTTTTTAATAAAATAATATTACACGCAAATTCAAAATATTTTCTTATTTTTTAACCATACACTTTTCATTAATATATTATTGAAAAATGCATTTTCATTCCAATAATATGGCTCAAACAAGGAATCTATATTATTGTGAATATTAATTAATTGAGAATTAATAATACAATTTTCATAAATGACAATAATTGTGTAGTACTTATTACATATGGAAAAACGAAAAGTAATGTATTATTAAAATAATTAAATCGTAGGGGTTGAATTGTATGAGAATTAAAATCGTCCAAAAATAATTCTCCTTGATGTGATACTTTAATATAATTATACATTTTTAATGTTAAGTAACTAAAAAAAAAATGATATATATATTAAGCCCTTGTTTGAGCCTCATTATTCGGTAAAAATAGTTTTTGGAATAGTGAATTTTTAGAAAATGTAGATTTACGTGTAATATTTTTTATTAACAGAATATGTGGTTGAAATTGATTTTGAAAAAAATATATATATTATCAAAAAATTGGATCTCAAATGAGGACTAACTCATAAACGTTAAATTAAATCAACAATATAATAAGCTTATATTGATTGTACTTCTTAATTTGTGTGCTTGTAATAGTTGCTTATAATGAGAAACAGGTTTTCGAAATGTGTGAATAATAATTGGATAATAATTATGAATTTATGATTAAAATTAATTTTAGAGTTGCAAATTTTTTCAAAGTGTCAATGATTTTATATTTGTTTGATCTCAATAAAAATGTATTTTTTAATAGTGTATTGATGGAAGATTTATGGTTAAAAAATAAAGAAAAAATTTTGAATTTGTGTAAATTAATTATTATTTTATTGAAAAATGTGTTATTAAAATGATGTCAAAACATTGTTTAAGAATAATTTATTTATTTTTTGTCAAAAAAAATTGGGACTCAAACAAGGACTTCATAAAAAAATTCATGTACTAGCTCAACTGAAATTCTAAAAAATTATAAGGTCTTTTATGAATTTAGTCATCTTCAATTGAAATTTTAATAATTTCTATTAAAATTCATTAAAATATAGGTGCCATCAATTGAAATTTTAATAGAAAATTCACTAAAACTAAATGTCCCCAAGTCCCGACAATCCTAGATTTAATATACATGTAACAAACTCTTTTGAAATTTTACCATCATTTATAATCACTATCAAAATTGAACGTATATTGCACATTATTCTAAAATACTTTATAAGCGATGTAAAAGTAATATTTGATACCAATTTCTTTGAGAATTTGATGAGTGTCATGCGTATTAGAGTTAGAATAGAAATTTAATAAAAAAAAATTGTAATCAAATTGTATTATTAAGACTCAATTTTTATTATTCAATTTCTTCATAATGATGAAATGTTATAAATGAGCAATCTTTTTATATTATATTTGATACATAGAAATTAATTGTTAATACATAAATTTAAATACTTGTTAAAAATTTTAAATACATGAATATGAATAAATTCATTTATAATAACTCTAAATTCATATAATTCAAGATTAACAAAGTGAAAATTCATTGAATTTGAATTAATGTGAATGTTTATTAATTGAGAATTAATAACACAAATTTCATAAAATGACAATAGTTTTATAATATTTATTACATATTAAAAAACGAAAAATAAGGTATTATTGAAATAATTGAATTATAGGGGGTTAAAATCGTCCATAAAATAATTCTCCCTTGATGTGATACTTTAATATAATTATAGATACTTTTATGGATTTTGTAGAAAGTTATCCAAATTCACAAAATTCGATAGACTTTATAATCTTTCAAGCTTCATAAAAAGTCATAGTTGAGGATACTTTTAAGTAGAAAGTAAAATATAAAATCTCATAAAAAGTATTTCATTTACCCTAAAATTTTGAGAGTTTAAAATCAAAAATTTATTTCCATCCATAATATTTGTCTTTTAAATTTTCTCCTCTTTTTATTTGACGAACTTGAGTGATGATACATTCAGCCCTCGTTCGATTTTCATTCTTTGACCATAAAAATGAAAAATATGATCGCTATCCATCACATCAAACTATCATATTTGACTTTTTATTTCTTGTGTAGATCTTGCAACCACTATATTTTTTATTCTCATTCTTTCAAAAATGAGAATCAAACAGAGCCTCAATTTTTTGGGTGGATATAAGAGTGCGTTTGATTGTCAATATTTTTCATGAAAAATATCATTTTTCACCAAATTTCTACTTTTATACTATTTAATTGATATTTTTTCTATGGAAAATATTTTTCCACTTTTGATCATATGACTATATTTTTCTTTAAAATAAGAAAAATATTTTCTTTAAGAGAGTAGGTTTTTATTTTTTTAGATAATTCTATCGCTCATCTATTCCATCTCCCTTTTCCATCTATTTATCAATAAAAAAAATGGATAAATATCACATTTTCTAGGTTAAAAATAAAATTAATCAAATACATTTAATTGATATTTTTCATGCAAATAATTTTGAGACAATTTAGTTGCCTATAACTTATTTTCTTTTTATCTAAATTTCATTCTTACAGTCAAACATACCCTACCTATGACAATTTGTCACAATGCTTGGATTCAAAGATTCATTGTTATAGACTTGGCTTAATTAGTTATTAGTTAATACAATTATAAAACTTTGTCCCAAAAAGAATAAAAACTCATTCAAATGCACCTATTAGAATTTAAAATAAACATAGTTTACCTTTTAAGATCAAGGTTTTATAAACACGGTAAATTGCTACTTTCTTTTAATAAGAAACTAAAATATTGTGTTCATAGGAAAGTTTACTTATAAATTACTAAACTCTAACCAAGAAAACCATACTGATTCAGTTCATCTCAACTTTACTTTGTATTTTATAGAGGAACGTCCCTTCGGCCACTCTTGACAAGGGTTGTGAAGAATGAATGAATCCATAGAATTATTAAACTATTGAAACCAGAAATGCCCATAGATCCCAACTAAAACATGGTGACAGTAGGGGATTCAAAATGATAATCCAATAAGAGAAAATTTCAAGCATCTTTAAATTAAGCAAACAAAGATGTTAAAAAATGAAACACCAATGAGAATCCAAATGCTCATCCAAGAGTTCAAAAATAAAATGTAGAGTTGCTTTTGCTTAAATCATTGTAACAGAAGCATTTTTGACTGCTTAGCTACGTGTGCTTTCTAATAACGTCCAACGCCCCAAACTCTTATGATACCGTCCGTATAACCGCTGAATAGTGTGCTCCCATCCATACTCCAATTAAGACTAGTGCAGTATAGAATCTACAATTTAAAATTTCAGGAGCTCAGTTACACAAGTACTTCCAAAAAGGTTCAAGAATTCACTGCAACAAGACTCAAAACAAAGGTAGAAAACCAACCTCAAATTCTCAAATTCAGACCAAGCAATGGCCATGGTATCATAAAAAGCAAACAAAACTTATTAATTTAATGTAAAATCAAGAATACAATGTTCAAGTTTCTATAAAAGTTTACAAGCTATCTTTGATAATTTAAAAAGCCTTATGTATGCTAATGGATGCCCACCAGCGAGTTGCCCCTGCGTAGGATGGGTCAAGCTATCTTATAATGTAAAATCAAGAATATAATGTTCAGGGTTCTATAAAAGTTTACAAGTTATCTTCGATAATTTGAAAAGCCTTAAGCTAGCTAATGGACGCCCACCAGCTAGTCGACCATGTAGGATGGGTCAAGCTATCTTCTAGAGAACTATAAAGTATGACTGAAATTGCAAAAGGGTGTGAGCGAAAGAATTGTTACTGCAGATTACAAAAATGAGTGCATCTCAATTGCAGATTAATCAGTTCTCAAACTTTTATCTTGAAAAAAACAAAATTATATATAAAATATCGATCAAGTTTCATAGACGGACAAGGACATGCTCATCCAAGCATAACGCCAGAAAAATATTCGACTACTACATTACATAAACACGTGTACAAAATCTGAACTTGCAGTGTCAAATGCATAAACTAAAACCATAGAAAACAAATTCAAATCGATCTCAATAAATGACTGCCAAAAAGACTGAAGAAGCATATTCATAATTAATAATTAACAAATTAACTACAGAAATAGACAGAAAAGATTATATATGTACCTTGTTTTTGTTACTGGTTTGAGTAGTCTCTTCAGCAGCCATCTCACTCTCCTGTTTCAAATCAACCTTAAGATCCACAACAACAGTCTTGCTCTCCAAGTCCCAAATCTTAATGCTGGCTTCAGTGGCGGCGCAGAGCCAGTACCTATTGGGACTGAAGCAAAGCGAATGAATGGTCGAACCCGCTTCCAACGAGTAAAGATTCTTCCCTTCTGCCAAATCCCATAGCAATATCCTTCCATCTTTCCCTCCACTCGCGCACAAGGACCCATCAGGCGAAACAGCCACCGTGTTAACCGAACCAGTATGCCCAGCCAAGGTGGACCTCAGCTTACAATTAGACAAATT